ATCTGGCAATAAAGTTATCCATTCAGTTCAAGCCTTGTTGAATAAAAACTGTTAAAATGGATATTCTTCCATGCTAAGTTACTTTCTTACTGTCATTCTTCACGTTTTTAATCATGCTAATAAACTTTTTTGAGATGACTTTTGCATTAACTTTTGTGTTCATTTTTGTAACCATAGCCACACTTACCTGCAGCAAATGCTCTTTGTGTTGCATTTGTTTAAACAGCATTTGATTATTTTTTGAAGGGATAACAGTCCACAAAAAATGCATCACTTTTGGTTGGGTTTCCTTCATGTTCTCTCAAGGCCTCATAAATTCTCATTGCTTTTGCATATGCCATCTTCCAGCTAAAGGGGTTATGGTAGAACTTGCCAAAACTGCACTTTAAAATGATGGGTTTAATAACAAGGTCTGTGAGCAAGTTGTTCCCGAATGTTTTCAGCTCAAAAAACTTGCAGGCAGTTTCTTGCAAATGTTGTGAGTCTGTCTGCCTCTGAGGATCAGGCCCTGGGGACTTGATTGTGAGGGTTTTGGTACCTTGAGACATTTTCTTCAGGAGCACTAAACAAATACTGTTTTTTTAACATGTCTTGTTTTAAAAAACTGTTTAAAGTGGATAATTTCTGGCAGTTGGGATATAACCTTTAAAACAACAAGCAGCAGCAGAAATAGTACAGAACTGGCAGCTGTATGTCTTGCAGTGCTTGGGCTGTAAGTGTGAGAGAGCAGAGAAACCTCAGCTTTTATATCATCTGGTAAGTAAAGTAAGAACTGATTTATATTGCTTTTGAGGTATGAAAAAGTTGTGCGTTGGGGTTGTTATAATTACTGGTGATCTTATGCCAGGTGGGATGCCATGAATGTGTTGTTTTAGGTTTGCCTTGGACTGGCTTTGTCTGATGGTTAATGATTTCTGTTGCCAATTTATGAGCCTTTTATTCTCAATCATCTTCGTGGAGTAGTTGGTATTCTGTAGGATAGGGTGAGGGGGTTGATTTGGTGGGGGTTTTCAACAGTAATTCAGACTCGGTATTATTCTCATTTCAGGATGTGCTGTTGAATTTTTGCACATAGTACAGTGAGATTTGTCTGTTGGGAAAATGAGCTATGTATGCTCTGGAGTGAATCCATTAATTTGTCTTCTGTTCATCTTGTACTCACCTAGTAGTGGGAAAATGTTTTTTAATGTGTAATGAATTTAGCTTAAAGTAGCAAATATGTATTAAGACAAACTTCTTAAAAGGTACTTAAGTGTTTTAAGCCCACTGGTTAAAAATCACACAAGGGACAACATTTCATGTCTCTCATCTTTTAGTCCTGTCACATAAAACTTCAGTTTGTAACAGCTTTGAGAAGTTTTGGGACAGAAGGTGCAATGTAAATAATAGGCTTTTGTTTTATTCTTTCTTATGATCTACTTTGTTCACTCTGTTTAAACAAGTATTCTTACACTTGAGATGGGGAATTAAAACATGAGCAATAATGGGGAAAAGCTTTCTACGAGTAAGCCTAAATTCAGCAGGGTTGAAAACCTGCTTAGTCCTGTCGAATAAACAGAATAACTCTGAGGGGACTGTATCTACACCCGAATTTCTAAAGCCAGAGTTCCTTGTGAGGGAAGGAGAGCAGTGCAGCTCATTGTGTCAGGAAAGGGGCTTCCTTCTCCTTTCAGGCCTTGAGAGAGCATTGGAGTGCAGTTAACCATGCTCACAGCCCATGCAAAGAAACCCGAGTCAAATAGTTCATTAAATTCCCCGAAATACTTTCAGATGTCATCTAAGGGGACAAGTGTTGCAATTCCGGTGTCCAAATTCATTACTCCCAGGTTTGGAGGTCCTGCCTTGTCCCTCTGCCGTTCCTGTCCTGCTGTGGGAGACAAGTGTGCAAGTTGTCCTTTGGTGGTCTCACTAATGTGTAGTGTCTTGCCCTGGAGAGTAACTAAACTGTGTGTTCTGTCAAGGTGGCACTGGATGTGTTGCATCACAGGAAGAAGATGCTGTGCAAGGGTGTGATTTAGCCAGAAACTTTCAACACAAAGTCAGAGCAACTTCGTCTCACGAAATCACAGCCCCCTTTTGCTGGGTGACCCCAGGTCAGTTCGTGTTCTGCTCTGAGGAGCCCAGGGCCCCCTGCCTGTGCTTGGGGTGGGGAGATGGGGGGAGGAGGGCAGCACCAGCCCAGCCCTGGGTATCCCCACGCAGCTCCTTGAGGTCTCTTCATCTCTGGAGGGGAAACATCCTCTCCTGCCTGCCGTGGGAGTCCCTGACCCTCTGAGCCCCCCACAGAGGAGGTTTTTCCCCTCCCCTCTGGCTGAAGGCCGGTGCTGCTGGGCAGACACCTGGGGCGGTGCTGGCCCCTGTCCCTGCCCCTGCTCTCAGGGTCCCTGCCTGGAGCCGCCCAGCTCTTGGCACTGCAGGTGCTGGGAAGGAGGCGCACACAGCAGAGGCAGGTAAAGCGCTCCGGGGTCCTGGCTCTCCTCGAGAACCCACAGTCTCCTTCTCTTCTGCCCTCCCCTCTCTCCCTTTCCAGCCTGGACCCCTTGTGGGTTCCCTCACTGCATGTGGGGCTTTTTGTCAGAGGTGCTGAGAGCCCGGGTGCAGGGGTGGGCACTGGCAGTGCAAGGGCTTATCAGCAAGACTTGTGATTATGAGGTCAGCTTTCTGGTTATCCAACTTCAGATAAGGCAGCAACTGCATTGGAGAGGGTGATAAAATGTCTAGGATTTCTGTACATGGGAGAGCGGCTGTTTAGGGAGCAAGAGGAGAAGGCGGTCTGGGAGCTCCTTAAGGGTGACTTGTCAGAGATCTGATCACAGCATATGCAAGGAACAATCTCCGGGGAAATGCTGGATAGGATCTGCAAGAGATCCCCACAGAGTGATTTGGGATTGTCTGAAAGCCGCAGTGAACTGCAAGCAGACTTAGTTTCACTGACAAAAGGAACTATTTCCCACAGATTGTCTTGCCAAGCAGGGCTGTTTCACAGCAGACTTTTTCTCCACCTGCTGATTGTCCGCTTGAATTAGTCAGGATGAAAAAGCACTTTCTTTAGTATTTTATCTCCTTATATATTGAGTTAGCATGCTTTAATTGAAACACACTCCGTGATCAAAGTGAATGAATTGGAATAAACAAATCAGGACTGACATTGGAAGCATGATTTAAACTATATAGAATAATCAAACCTAACTGCAAAATTAATAGGGCAAAGGCAGAAACAAACACAAGTAAGTTCATTGTCTAGGAAACCGGATATATCTGAATGAGAGACATGTACTGTGGTGCTCCCAAAAGAATAGCTGAAAAGGGTTTCAGTGTGTGTAAAAACAAGACAGAGGCGATAGTTCTTAAAGTCTAATGTTTAAATTTTTCATCATCTGTCAGTTTGAGTCACTTCTGTTACAAGACTGGAGTTAAGTATTTGCAATAGACTGAAGTAATGCTGGAGGCTGTTGAAAGAGGTTTTCATAAAAGAGCACCTTGATACATGAGATTAAACAATCCAAGAAAGGAGTTCGTATTTATCAAATGTTCAGATCTGTAACTCAAGCTGTGGCAGAGAACTTTGAAAAAAAAAAAAAAAGAGAGCGAGAATGGATCCAAACTCAGCAACAAAAGGAAATGCAGAAATTTGGTGTGTTGCAGATAAACCTTTGAAATGAGGGAAAGGGAGAGAAAACCTAACAAAGTCATCTCAGGGTCAGAGCCAAGTTGGCCAGTGGGGCCCTCTGTGTCATTTGTTAAAATCAGTGACTAATCCCAGCTAAGGAGCCGTGATCTGTGGAGTAGGGCATCATCCAATATCAGATTAATCAATGGTTTTACCTGTGGGGGTGGTGACTCAGGGCTGAGCAGAGGGACAGGCTGAGGGTGCAGAGGCAGAAGATCCTCTCTGCAGTAGCTCAGTAAAATGTGGATTACAGCAACTCACAGGCAGAGGGGACATGGCTGCAGAAACTCCTGTGAGTGAGACCTGCTGTCTCAGCTTCCTTTCCATCCTGTGGCATTGCTGCAGTGTGGATCCTTGTCCTGCAGGAACTAGACCCAAAGCAACACATTCATTTTGTTTAGGACAACTGTGAGACTGCCAGTCTGTGACACCCCAGTGAAAAGCTCTGGGTATCCCCTTACTGCCCTTCCAGCTAATTTATCTTTCAGAGATCTTTCTGCCACACAGCACAGAGCAGCAGGGATGGCAAGAGCTACTAAACCATCTACTTCTGTAAAACTGTGTCTGAGGTGATGGTGGGACACTTCTCCTGAGTGCAAGACTGCAGCTTTGATCCATCTAAATGAAGTGACATGGTCTTGCACTCAAATGTGTCACTCTCCCTCTGCTTCAAAAAAGCAGAAGGACGGTCTCTCCCTTTTTGCAGAGCTCTGGCAGCAGGGAAGGGGAGCTTTCCTTCCCCCTCCCTGCCTGGAGCACCCTGCACTGACCAGGAGCAGGGACAGGGCCAGACCCCCCACCCTGTGAGTTCAGAGAGCTGCAGATGGAGGTCCCAGACCTGTCTGCAGGGATGGTGCAGGCACAGCCTGATGAGATGGGAAAGGGTTAGGCTTTGCTTGGAGCTTCTTTATTATTTCAATTTTCACTCCTATTTCTCTTCTGTTTTATCTGATTTTAAAAGGATTTGTTTTCTTGCTTTAAGAAACCTGCATTGAAGTCGTATTTAGCTGGAGTGTGACTTACTAAATAAATGGTGCTACCAGGAAGAAAATTAAACAAGCCACTTGGTAAAAGGGAAATAAATCTGGCTGCACCTCCACACTTGGCATGTGTTTGCATAAAATATATCTCTATCCTGGAAAAAGATCTAAATTAAAAACTTGGGAGCAAACACTTTCGGAACGTTCTGATCTCTATCTGTCCTCCACAGCATAGGCTGTCTCTGATTTATAGCTATGAAAGTTTGGGGTGAATATTGCCTTTTGACTCTGTTCTTTCTATTTTCCTTTTCAATCCAAATGTCTTTTGATTCTAATAAACACCAGAAGAAATGTCCAGACTTTTGAAGATATGTTTCTTGTTGATATCACTGAATCATGCTGAGGTTATTCACAGTCAGAGCTCTGAAGGTAAGACCAGAACTCCTGTCTGAGGAGTGTATCTTGGGTGGAAAAAGCTGTGTAATAAATTAGGTGCAGCACTGTTTAGTAACTAGGACCAATTCGAATTCATGGACCTATGCCAGCAAAGAATTTCACCAAGACTGATTGTTATTTAATAGCCTTTTATTTTCACTGTTTTTCTGTAAATTAATGTATTCAAAACTGCATTAAATGCTTGTAAATAAATTATATATATATAGTTTTGATCACTGCATACAATATGTGTACTTTTGTGTAACACAAATGATAAAACTTTAAATTAACTTCTAGTAACGGGATAATCTCTTGCAGATTTGCCTCCATTATTACACAAAGCTCTGGTAAGTATTTTTATTTGATTAACATTTTCGATTAACATTTTATAGTATAATCTGAAAATAATAATTTATTACATATTATTACAATTTTTTCCGTAGGAGGAAGTAATAACTGGGAAATATCTGAATGGTAATGTACAAAGTTGTTCCCACTTACACTTTTAAAATTAATTAAAACTCAGTATCTCACTGCAACTTTTTATGTTCCATTTTTCATGTACAGCCCTCCTTGATATACTTAATTTTCAAAGGTAATGTATTACTCTCACCAGCTTGATTTTTCAATATTATCTTGCACTTCAGATATGATCTGTTTCATTTCCACAGAAACTGGGACATTATGGATAGAATGACATTGCCACGTATGATTACTTTGATTTAGATCTCCTGGGAGGAGCATTTCCTCTTAACATGGGAAAAGCTGTTTTTCACAAAAGAGAAAAAAAACCCCAACATGCATAGAATGAGGCTGAGGATAAATACCTGCTGCAGTTTTCAAAGTTGTGATAATTAACTTTGTTCATATGTGTCAGAATGGCTGCTTAAGGAAATTGGGTGCAGTTCCAGCTTTCTGTCCACCTCCCTCTTTCAGTCCCAATCCCCCCATCCTCCAGCTCCTTGTGACTTTTGAATTATTTGCTAATTTTGTCTAAATTGGAAAGAGCTGTATAAGCCTCAAAGGCCATTCCACTCCTACATGTTTTGTGAAAATCAGTGGCTGTGTAAAGAAGACACTGAAATTAATGACTCTGCTGAGGGAAAGGCAACAGACCTTCCTCTCTGGGCTTTCTACAAGCAGAGAACAGGCATAAGGGGTGCCAGGAAGCACATCCTGGAGATGGTACTAGTGGCAGCACCCTGGAAAATTGAGATTATTGTGGGTCTTTGTGGAATTAGATGAAAAAAACATAACTAATTAATTCCATTCTTCATTGAACCATGTATTTTCATTGCATTAAATAGATCAACTGTTACTCTGGTTAGGCCAAAAAGCTGAATACTCGTGTCATTATGGTGTTAGTAGCACTGCTTGTTTTTCTTTTTTACTCTTGTAATGTGCTATTTTCCATGTTATATTATTTTACTGGCATTTTTGGTCCTGTTTTCTGTTACAGTTCTAATGTCTGGACAGCAGATATGCTTACAAAAGTCATGGCATATTTTCATGCCCAGGAAGTTATGTTTACTCTTAGCAGCCTCCAGGTTTGTGACATTTAAAATGCATGAAAATTTTTATTCAAAAAGGAATTTAAAAAGCAACCTATCTCTGTAGCCAAAACTAGGCAGTCAATAATAGAGGTAACTAACACATCTAGAGTCTAGCAGCTAAATAAGAATAGGGTTTTTGGTCATCTTTTCCCCCTAAGATTGCAGAAGTATGCAAGGCAGAAATAATAATAACAATCTTTTTGCTTTTCCTCTGTCAGTATTTGTTGGTGGCAGTGCAAGTTAAGCAAAGGCAACAACGAACTGCAACACAAATTCCAAACCAATTCTGAAATAATTCTGTCAGGAATTAGAAGGGATTTCACTCCAGTCTGCTGCTAATGAGCCTTACAGTGCTTTCTGTTCCAATGTTATGATTCCCCTTGGATTTTTCAAAACAGACAGGAGATTGTTAACTGGTAATGGAGGTTGATGTGAGAGAGAATATTTTTGGCTTATGACCTGCTACACACTTTTCCTCCCATCTAATTGCACACTTCCTTCCCTTTTTTAAGTAATAATAATATGCACACGGTACCTGATTTTTTTTTTTTTTAGCTCTTTAAAACTTTCATTTTCCCAACTCTGCTGTGTGAGGCAGAAAAGCTTTATTACTCTTGTTTTATGAAGTGAGAAACTGAGGCATCTTTGTTAAAAGGCTCCTTGGAGAGGACTTGTTCATGAAGCCAAGAATAGGGTTTGAAAATAACTGTCTTTCAGAATACATTTAGATTGTTTTTGTTTCCAGTTTGTGTGGAGAATAGCTATTCTGGTCATTGACAACACAGACAGTACAGGAGCTAAGCACTTAGTTTTTGAGCACAGATTTTCAGGGGGTAAAAGGTGCCCCCAGTACAACAGTATGAGTTCCATCTATATTACACTTATTTTTCTATACTTCAGATGTCCATACAAAGTTACCTGAAGAACCTTTTATACCAGCCTAGGCAACTACTGTCTGAATTTCAACAACTTGATCAGCAGCAGTTCCAAACTGCAATGAAGTATCTCTTCAACAGCAGGAAGGAGCATCTTGTAAGTCCCTTTGCACTTGTGAAAAGGAAAAGCTGCAGTCAGTGGTTTGGATAAATGGGAGAGGGACAGACTGGGGGGCTCACAGGGGACACTGTGCAGTTACTTACCTGGCTCACATTAGATTCCAGGAGCCCCTCTCCTTAGGTTAGACTTACTTCATTTAATTCTTATTGTCTAAAAGTCTGCTGCCAAGTGCAAGTCATCCTTTGGATTCTCACTGTCATCAGTACAGAGAAACAGATCTCCAGAGAATGAATCATCTTCCTACTCTAATATCTAAGGTAGGTATGACCAGTTGTTCTCAGGGAGTGTGTTCTTCTTAAAGGGACTGGAAAGAGAGCCAAGATGACTAAAGAAGGTGAAATTAGTAATTTTGTTAATTAGTGAGCAAACTTTTGGCAATTTGGAGGAGAGGCAGCATAACATGATTTGCTGGTTTCTGTGGTGTGTTCCTGTGTGACCCATCTGAAAAGCCTTGCTCAGAGTCAGTGGGTGCTTCCCAGGGAGGATTGTCCTGCAGAGGGGATCTCCAGTGCAGGTGGGATCACAGCCTGAGGTGTGAGAGCATTTGGATCTTCCCTGCTGCCCCTGGAAGGGCCTCCAGCCTGGGCATTGCTGAGGGGGTGGAGATTGACCTGGGAGAAAGGGAAAGCTCATCCTCAGACACGTGAGGTGACTGCCCAGAGCAAACACTGTATTATCCACTGTTCAAACAATGGAGGGGCAGCTCCTGCTGCCAGAGCACACGGATCAGGTGTGCACTGAGCACTGGGAGCCAGGGCAGCAGAGCATGAGCCCTGTCAATAAACTGTAAATCACCAGGACTGTCAGCTCTGAACAGGCTGTCCTAGACACCTCGACTTGTGAGATGGCACCTGTGCCCAGGGAATCCCCAGAGTACTGTTTGACATTGCCCCATCTTCTGGAAGGGATGTTTGCAGTAACAGCTGCAAGAGATACTGCATGGAAAAGGTCTGTTCTAGAGATGTCTATGTATTAAATTATGTATGAAATGATACCTATTCAATTCCACTATCCCTTCATTTTTCAAGTAACTAATTCTTTCATGGGAACACACACTATAATTTCAGCCATTTCATTTATTTTTCTGTTTTTCATTTTGATTTTGTAAAAAAAACTCAAGCTGGTCTCTGCCCAACATCAGAAAGGAATTATCTGAAGTAATGCAAACAGTATTTTGCAGGAATTTTTCATGTGAACAGCACCATATTCTTTGTGGAATGGTCTCTGTCAGGCCTCAAAATGAACAGTGTGTTGAATCAATCAAAGAGATGTTCTTATAACCCTTTGTTGCTTGCAGGAAACGGGAAATATTATTCTTGATTGGGATGAGACTAGAGAGAGAATTTTTCAAAGCCCAGGAGTAAACAGGACCTTGTTCCTTGTCACACTGGATAAATGCTTCCTGGCTCTGAGTGCTTTGGACTGTGTGGATATCCTAAGCCAGGTTTTGCATGTGTCAGCGGTGAACTATCTCCAACCCGATGTCATTGGGAGCCTCCCAGGCATTCTGCTGGAGGATGCTTTCAGAAACCTGTAAGCCATTTGTTTTTCAGACACAATTAATACTATGTCATATTTGCTGGTCTCAGTCTATTTTCCAGATGCAGCTTCCTGCTTATGTGTCGCTGGTTATAAAATAATTTTTCCATATGTTCGTTTTTTAAAAAATAAAGAGTTAACTCATTAGTGAACTAACATGCCCTTGTATCACTTAGATCATCATTATTCAAGGACCTCTATGACAAAACCTCAGCAAATACTCAGAGAGCTCTGTATGGCTGGATGAAGCAGATTCTACAAAAATCCTATAACAGGAGTGGTATGTTATGTACAAAGTATTTTCTCTTGCTTATCATAAAAAGGTCAGCAAAGGCCTATCCATTGTATTGAATTGTTTCCCAAATTTAACACATCTGTTTAAGAGTAGCTGTCTAGAATACCTTTTATTCAGAATACAGTAAATGTAATATATTTGTTACTCATGACAAATAGTTCTCCAAAGATGTTTGTTCTTGTAGAATAGAATCATTCAATTGTTAATGTTAGAAAAGACCTCTAAGATCATTGAGTCCAACCAATGGACTCTTCATCTCTTCTGCACAGAGCTGTATTCAGTCTTTTTCTAGTACTCTGATCTTTTCTCTCTGTACTTTTTCTAAGACTGAAATAGGATACAGTGGTCAGGTGCTCTGCCAAGGTGTGTTGTTCACTTCTGAACACCTATTCAGACTAGAAAAATAGCTCTGGCTCAGGGTACATTAGCCAATGCACTGCTTAAAAACAAAAGAAATGCAGGATGTTGTGAAAGCACGTGGCTTGGTCAGAAAAAGGACTAGATAAAAACACAATTAATTCTGATTGTATGCATTTTACCACATCTGTTTGCCTGGTTAATGTGCCTTGAACGGCTGTGCCACAGCTGTGCCAGCACAGGACAGGCTTCACGAGGGGGCTCTGCAGTAGCACTGAACCATCAGAGCCACTGCCTGGCTTTCACTGAACATCCCAGCAGAGCTGTCCTGTGAGCATTTTAGACTTCTGGATGTGCGTGTTCATCCCCTTTCCCTGGAAATCAAGGGCAAAATGCCCATTTGTTTCAGTGGAGCTAAATTTGTCCACTGGGTCTTCAGCTGTTTCAAAATATCGGGGTAACCCATTAAGTCGTAGGGAGGAAGTTGATGACACTGCTGTGTGGTGGTGTTACTGCCAGGACATTGCTGGGGAAGCAAAGATGCAGAACTTGCCTGGTGATACTCAGCAGTCCTGGGAAAATCCCTCAGTGTCACCTTGGATTGTGTGTGGAGCATTAGTGAACCCTCGGGGTGTGGAAGATCACCCAGCTTAGGAGGGGCTGAGATTAACGTGCCTCTCTTACCTCCTGGTTGCTGCTTCCCTACCAAAAGCAGTGCAGGTGTGGTGAATCCACAGCACAGAGGGCAGGACAGCAGAAGAGTCCTGCAATAGTGTGATTTATTCACTTTCTAGTTGGGTAGCACTGGGACCACCTGGGAAAGGTGTCATTTTTTGGGGATCACACCTGCCATGGTTGGTACCTGCAGCTCTGTTCTACTAAAGGCCACAGTCAACGTCCTTAAATTGTGCTCGTTTTTCTTTAACTCTTCTGTCATGTCTTTCAACTCTTGTAATATCCCTGGTAATGGGAGGTGATATCACTTTAAAAAACAGAGGCCTGACAGGTCTGCTGGGAGCATCATCTTGTCTCAGTTAAGGAGCTTAGATCTGTGTTTTCAAAAAAAGCACTAAATGGGGTCCTTCAGCTTCTGATAGATAAAGGGTGATGTTTTTTCAGATACTGAAAACTCTTCAAAGTGCCCTGATGATTTTATTCTAACAGAGTTGTGGGTATCAGCACTGCCAAGGAATATGTTCAGAGGTATCACACACTGAGCCATCCAAATTATGATACCTTGGAGAAAACAGTCTGTGGCTCAGAGTCCATAAATACTTTATTTCTCAGGGATATTTGGATCTTGACTTCATTTACAATCCTTGGGAGAATGTTACTAAATGAATGCCAATTTTTTAACTGTTATGCAGTATTCTGTATTTTTTGCCAACCTATTTCCATAGAGGTATTTGAACCATTTTTCATTTTCTCTGTTATTGCTATTGCATATTGCTGAAATAAATAGCATCATCAATAATAATATATGATATATAAAGTGTTACAAAGTATCATGCCTTCCCGATGTTCTTAAATAATATAATTGATTAGGGAAACTGAATTTAAAAAATACTGCTCCATATTTAATATTACTGGTTAAATTTTGCCTGTCCCACACTTTATCCAGTTTCTATTTCGACAACATAAAACATTAATGTTTTCATACAAGAAAATCTGAGACATTTGAAACACTATTTCATTTTCATTAAAAAATGTATGGTCTCATAAAAATGTGGTGCTAAAATGTAGCCAACGGAGGGAACCTGAGTCTCTCTGCTTTTAGGATTTTTCTGATTGTTTTTGATTGTTTACCAGGAACAATATACTGGGTGCAATATCTTTGAAAAGCAATAACTTTCTTAATATTGCAGTAAGTATTTATTTGTACAAAACAGACTTCAATGAATCAACTTCTTGGGTCAGTGCAGAAAGCTTATGGATTTTGGGAAGATTCATGGTCCATCTCCCATTAGAAGAAATTCTGAAAATTAGCCTCAGTGAAGTAAGTAACAAAGTGTGGTTGGATATGTCATTACAAAGTGATGTCAGCTACAAACAATATGAACACAAATGCAAACTAAAACATGAAAAAACTTTATATATTTTAATTAAAGCGAAAATATAAATGTATTATTTACAAATATTTTTCTATATTTGGAATTTTAAAGTGCCTTTAATTAATATAGAATTACTTATCTGTATCAGTATTCTGTGCCTTCTGCTGAAAGGGATCAATGATAGAAGCCCTCAAATTATTTGACAGTTTGGCAGAGAATTGCTCAAGTCACTCACTCAGCTTTGTCTTCAAAAATACCATGTTATCCAAATCTATCTTCTTCCTTTCTCAACAACATGAATGGGGTCAGTTAATTTAGTGTGTCAAACACAGATTTTATTGGATGCAATTGTTTCACAATGATCCTGTTTGTGCTGGTCAGATCAGACTGTTCATTAGCTACGACAACGCGACAAAGCAGCTGGACACGGTGTATGATATCACACCAGAGCTTGCACAGGCTTTCCTGGAGAGGATAAACTCATCAGGATTTGATATGAGGAACACTTCAACCATCTACAGGCAAGACTGCTTTTCTTTTTCTTTTATGGCTGTGTTTGGATGGAACGAATAAGTAAGGAGAAAAGAGAGGAGCAATAAGCAATATGGCATAGCTTTTCCCTTCCAGCAGGAAAATCTAGGCTGAAATCCAGCCCTGTTTAGCAACAGTGAAGAATTGCTACTTTATGATTTTTTGGAGATGTGCCTAATTAGCTAATGCTTTGTCTCCTGCTGCACAGTGAGGAGATGCCTGGAGTATTAGGAAGACTACAGCAGTATTTTTGGGACCCGTCACGTTTTACAGTGCAGCAGTAAAATAAACTGGGATAGCAGGACATGAGTTGTCTTGGCTGTTTGGATCACAGAAGGTGGAGTTGTTCTGTGGAAATCATGTTACAGTTGGGATTGAAGGAGGAAATCTTAGCTCATGCCAGCCAGGACTGCAGGTGGTTTTTAATTGACGTGGTTGTCACCAGAGAGGTGACAAAGTGAGGAGCTGTAAAGCCTGCCCTGCTGTCCTCTTTGCCCTGCAGGGCAGACATGAGCTATGCCTAAATATGTGTGACTGTTAAGTGTGTAAGCAGGAAACTGCACTTTCAGGGCTGTCAAACCAGCACTGAACTAACTTTAATAAAAAACCAAAACAAGCTGCTCTTACTCACAAAGAGGCAGAGAGTGTGAGCTGCTGTAAGGAAGTGCCGTGCTCCGCATTTACATTCACACTGTCGTATCAGTGGATGTATTTAGTCCCAAGACACCGCTGTCTGAAGTTATTTGTAGTCTCCTTGGGGGATACCTTGGAGTTTTAAACTAATGGAGAGTATGCTTTATGGCTTCAGAGCTCCTGTTGTTGCTGCAGTGCAGCTCTGACTTCCCTGAAGCATTGCTCGCTGTCGGAGGTGTAAGCGAGAGGAGAATTATGCCCACGCTCTAAATTTCAGTGTCAGAAATCTTAGAAATGATTTTGTCACTCACAAGAGCTGCCACGTTCTCACAGACGAGGGAAATGTCATGCTCCATAATCCTTAATATATTCCATTTTTACAACACACTTAGTTTATATTACTCATTTTAACCATACTGATGATTTAAATGCACTTTTACTTTTAAGAAGTAGTGTTATTCATTGTTGCTAATCCCAAAGGAGATGAAGAGCTCTTGGTGGGTATGCAGTAATGCATTGGAAGGTAATTATTTGTTATAAAAATGCTCTTACAGATGTTTCTTTGATTTGTATGTTGGTTTGATGATGTCCCATGAATTCAGATGGGCTGCTGAAGCAGTATATTTTTATATCTCTAGCAGGTTGTTGTTGAGGGAATAGAGGAAATAAAAGCCTTTCTGTGCTGCAGAATTTCACTGAGTTTGTGATAGTGCTGCAGCAATGTCCAGTGTTGATTTGGACATTGTGGCCCAAACTCTACCTATGCCTCTTTGAATTGCTAGAAAACAGGGACTGCTGCAGAAAAGCTGGGCTTTTGCCACATCTTTGAGGTTCTTGTTCTCTGTAAATTATGAAAGCAAAGACTAAGATTTTACAGGGACAGGGAATTGATTGAGGCTTCCTACAAACAAGTTCATCACCGTCACTATAAAGTTCAAAGTCCAGCAAGAGTGATCTGCAATTCCAAGCTCTTTCTTTGCAGGGCGGCAGGCAGTGGCACTAAATAAGCACAAGGCCCAAGTCAGAAGGCCACCTACAAAAGGCACTTCCCCTTGGTGGTGTGGCTGCTTCTCTCCACCAGCCGTGGCTGTGGTTGTACTTTACAGAGGTTAATGGAAATGTTGACTTAAATATTACAGCACAGGTCCTGTGAAGGAGCATGAGCTCCACATCTGGACCACAACACGGCCTTGCAGGCTGCTGTGCTGGCACTAATGAGGCAGGGAATCCTGGCATGCCTTCTCCTAACTGGTGTTGAACTGTTCAGATCTCCATCCATCAGCCAGTCCTGTGTTTGATGTGAAATACAGCAGGCTTTGTTTAAACCTGAAACAATGAAGAGGCCATGTAATGCTCTAGCTGCTGCTCTGAGACATGAATGACTTATGTTGCCTGCGAAATCCAGGTAGGATTTAGAACTCAAAACATCCAGTCAACCCAGATAAGAACTCAGCAGCCACTTCCAAAGATTTTTTCATAGCCCTCCATCCTTTTCAAGATTATACTGCCAAGGTGAGTGGAGTTGTTAACTAGGAGAATCCAGCCATGGACAAATGGAACCAGGAGAGTTAAGTTTTCAGCAGCACAAGCAATCCAGGTAGAGTTCAGCTGAATACAGAGGCCACTGCATGTGTCTCATACCCCAGTCTCAGGCTGGGTAAGTTTTAAAGATTGTAGTTGAAGGCACAAGTGACAGACAGAAATGACTCCGGTCCTGAGCATGAGTAGGGTGTAACATCCTGTGTGTCCCTTTCCTAAGGATCACACCTCCTATGTCAGAAGTCAGCTAATGTGTCTCTTCTCCATAGGCTGGGTTTATTGGTTTGCTTTTATGATGACCTGGAACAGATGGATGCAGCTGTGGCCCGGGCTTTACTTCATCAAATGATTAAATGCAATCAACTGAGAGGTTTCCAGGCTGAGGTTCACAAGGTGGGTGTGGTATTTATTCTTCTTGCCTAACCCAACTCTGAAAACAGAGGAGGAGGACTTTCTTCATGAATAAGAGAAGAAAAGAGTGAAAAATCACTGTGATCTAAGAAATAAGGGAAAATAGTTCTCAAGAATGCAAAGAATAGAAGTCCATTTTAGGTGCTTATTCTTTTGTCATTCTATTTCCTGCTGCTCCATATTCCTTTCACAACTGTGGTTCTATTTTTGAAATTTTATGAAGTGTGTGCTCACTGAATATTTGCCAATGACTATTCCAGAGACTCCAGTTAGTGTTTTGGGTGATAGTGGAAATTGGTTCTTGGCAGGTTTTTATTTCCCATCTGCTCTTTTTGTTTGCTTTAGCTCAAATCCCAACTCCTGAACATTGCCATGCAAAACCAGACATTGAATGATACCCTTGGATCTCTGTCAGATGCTGTGGTCGGACTAACTTCAAGTCAGCTGGAATCTCTGTCACCTGAAGCAGTGCATAATGCTATTGCAACATTAAACCAAGTCTCTGGCTGGGCAAAGAGCCAAGTTATGATTTTATCCAGTAAATACCTCTCTTATGAAAAGGTACCTTGTGATAACAGCTTTCCTACCTCCTGTTTTTAAAAATGAAATGGCTTTTTCTCAACAATAACCATAGATTTTGAAAAGTTAGTGGTCTGAAAAATGTGTTTAAATCAAATAAAAACATCCAAGACTGTACGTCCCAAAGTAATTCTCTAGTGTAACAGAGAGAAGGAATGTTTGTATTTGGCAGTTGTGTATGTTATTTTGTGTGTGTCTCTGCCCTAAGCAGAATTTGCATGATCAGAGATCCCAGACTGTATATTCAAATATATAGTAGTGGAAGGAATCAGGGTCCTGCCAAAGTTTCAGAAAAAGGACCTTCTGGGAAACTTCACACATTTGCTCTCTGGACAGACACAGAAAGTGCATCCCCAGGCAAGAAATGTATTAAGTATTCAACAGTAATAGTTTTGATTTATTTATTGACTTCTGCTTTTAAATATATCTGCTGCTCTCCAGCCAGAAAACTTCCTGTTTGTGCTGTTCTCTCTGCAGGTGTTATCATTCCATGATGTCAGTCAAATGGGTGCTTTGGTAACGGGCATCAGCACCCAGTCCCTCTACAGCATGAACCCAGGGGAGCTCTCCCAGCTTATTCGAGGCACAACATCCCAGCACTTGTCTGACTTATCTCCTGCCCAACAACAAGGGATCCTCAGGAAGGTGATGATGAACTCCAGTGTGTAGCAGGTTCTCTCTGCACAAGAGCACAGTCACCAGCTATGCAGAGCATGATTTAAAATGTTGCCACCGAATGTGCTTTGTGCTTTAGCTCAAAGGTTAACATTTCCAGAGGTTTTTTTCTGAACACCACGTGTGTTTGGAAGGCTCTCTCTTGCTTATTTCCGTTGCATTTTTAATACTGTCATGTTTTCCTTTATCCTCTTAAGAGAAATATTACACAGAATAGAAAGAAGGGCAAATCCTGTAAATCTAAGCATCAGTTCTGAAATGCCATGTATTTCTGTGTTCCTCTTTTTAGATAGCTGCATCTGGAGATTTTTCTTCATCAGTCAAAGAGATACAAGGAGCTTTTTTTAAAGAAGTATCTCTTTCTGGTTTATGGAAGCAGACTGGATATAGTTCTTCAGTGATGAAAGAAAAAGAACTAAGAAGAAGCCAGGTAAAAATTCTTATGCAGTTCCCATTCCCCTGCAATTTAGTATGATGGAAGAACTGGAAAAGAAACATAAGTGAAAGGAAGGAACTGCCTCAAATATATCTTGACATAAACAACCAGAGGAATTTCAGAGCCTGGGCAGCATTATGAAACAAAGCTATGGAAAGGGAAGCATTAATATGCTGAGTTTAAGTCCCCAAGATTCTGCCATGGAAATTTTCTCTTTCCAGTACTGTATAATAGACATTTGCATATACAATCAGCTCTTTGACTCTGTCCAAAGAGATGAAAGTTTGGATCAGATGATCTCCAGAGGTCCCCTCAAACCCAAGTTATTCAGTGGTTGTGGGCCATGGCCAGGTTTAACATCATCCCATAACACCAGTCAGCCATGTCTTGCCTTGTGAAGAAGAAATTCAGCACTGGATGCCAAACCTCTTGTGGTTGGCCAGGCTGGATCATAGAAGTGCCTGTAGAGTTCATAAGAGAGCTAAGAGTACATAAACCTTGCAGTAGTCATTGTGTCTTACAACTGGATTAACTAAACTTAACTTTAAGTATGGTGGGTTTTATTTCAGGCTTTGTATCTGTATGAATTACTGTCTAAGAAAAACAATCCCGTTGACCTTCTAAGGTATGGATTAGAGTCTCCTTTGAAATGAGGTTTAAGACTAGTTTTGTCATAAGAGCAACTTCAAGGTAAACCATACATGGTTATTTTGTACTGTCTTAAGTTTAGTCATTCCTGGATACCACAGGATAATTCACCTTCCTCATTAGAAAGGGTCTCCAAATCCAAAATCGGGCTCAAAGCATTGCAGAGGTTTAGCTATTTTAAGGGTTAGTTGGTATTTTTCAATTTGTTTGCAGTTTTACTTTCAATTTAGCCTTTCAATTACAAGAAAACGGGAGAGAGGTGGCCAAGTAACTGTATCTTAGGGCAGGGTTGTGGGGAGCAAGGACTAGATCCTGCTTAAATATTCAAAAGATTGAAATTTGCTTTTCCTATCAGCACAGGACAGCTTGTGAAAGGAGTAACTTGTCAACTCATTGAAAGTATGGGCACAGACATATTTTTAAACAACTTCAAATTCTTTGAAATGAATCTTCATCTGCTTTCTCCATATCAGGTAAAACCAACAAAACTTTGTCTAGATAAACATACTACCCAATATCCAAACTAGGTAAATTGGAATTTGATTCATTCAATTTTCTTTTTACTTTCTTTTTTTTTTAATCTTGTCTGTGTCAGCTTGTCTGTTAGCATATTTTATTTAAATCTTTTATGTGTGACTTTTTCTGTTATCATACTTCATTTTGACAATTTCATTTGCCACTTACAAATTGCAAAAAATTTCTACAGCCCTTCTGACTTGTTAATTCATGAGTAATCTGTTTGGAAATATATAGAAGTTTTGAAAACATACAAATGCTCTTATGCACCCAAATATAGGATGCTTCATCTCTGATGTCTACAAAAAGAAAACTCTAAAAAAAGCCAAAGAAAAATACTCTGAAGATAATATGCACAGTTTTATGTATGCTAATTTATATGCTGCAATAAACAAGCCATGTTTTTATTCTTCCTCAAAATTGCCAGATGTTTAAGTTCCTAAATTTTTGTTGCTTTTAGGTTAATTGTTTAGCTTGGAAGTTTTGGAAGGTCTCCAATGCATCTATTCCTCCCTTCCTCTTACTGGTGCTTCCGTGAGTTACCTCTTACTACATCTTAAGTTCTGAGCACTTTTTAAATAATCTCTTCAGTCCTAAGAAAACTGATGATTCAAAGAAATGGTAATTTATCAAAGGTGGTCACTGACTGTAGGCAAAGTCTCTGTCAAGTGAAAGTTGGTAATATTTGGTGTCTTTTAGTGTGGCCTATTTTTGTCAAATTCTGGATTTTTACCCCCTCGGTTGTGAGATTTGTTTTCCTTATTTATTTAGGGTTTATTTGAGAGTGGATATGTAAGTCAAAACCACTGGGTGCTGCTGAAGCATATTGCTCTGTATGGTTAAAAACATTTCAGTGTGTTTTAAGACATTTTTCTAAGTTAGCAAAACGTTTCAGTGACAGCTTTTTCCCTTAGGGAAAACAAATGTACAAGAAGGGCATTCAAGTAAGGTGAGGATTAATTGCAACTTTTCTGGCCTGTCCAGTTTATGATTTTTCAAGTCCAGCCTTGTCTCTAAATGTTTGTGTCATCACAGGTTTTATGGGTATGGTTATGGATGTATGAAGGTCAGGTTTGCATTCTGAGATGTTTGAATTCTTTCTGCAGTTCTGAGTACCTGGAGTTCGTTTCAGGCCCTTTGTGTGTCCCTTTCATTGAAAGTCTGGGGAAGACTGAAATGGACCTTTTGAATCCAGGCCGTCACAAAAGGAATGCTGTCCTGCAAAAAGTACAGGAGTGCTTGGTGGGTATGGCTGGGAGGGGTCAGCAGTTGAGGAGACACCACGGGGATGGAGAGATTCACCTTCTACATAAGTTCTTGACTTACCCATCTGTATTCTTTGGGGGTTTTTTCATGTACTGTTTTGATATTATTGTTCGCTGCCTGAGGAAACCTTTTTACAACTTCCTTAACAATTTTCCTTGACTCCATCCATGTCACAAAGTGTTCTCATGAAATGTCGTTGCTGACCACAGATAACCGGCCAGGGCAGCCTGGAGCTGACCAGTTTGCAGCTGGAGCTGTTCCCCTGGCTCCCAGCAGTGCCAGTCCTGCAGAGCCGTGCGTGGCTCGGGAGGCTCCCTGGGAGAGGTGTTGCTACTGGGAGGATTTGGGACTTCTGCTGTCAAGGGGCTGCAGCACTCACCAGCTTTTAAGGGAAACTTATTCTTTGATGTAGCTGTGAATATTCCTGTCCTTACACATACTACCAGCTGTATAATCCCTGGTGTTTTGGCAGCTGCTTGAGAAACCCCTCAGAGCTCAGCCTTCTGACAGCAAGAGCTTGGGGCCCCTTTGCTGCGAGGGGCCAGGTGAGGGCTGTGCTGCCAGGCAGAGCTGCACCACCTCTGCAGGTGTGGGGGGGGTCACATTTTCTATGTGAGCTTCAGCGTGGAATAAAGAATAATGAAAGCCCTGAGAAGTGCTTATTAAATATCACCAATTGCAGTGCTAAAAGCAAAAAAATATAAGGCAGTCTAAGCAGAAATCGTAGATGAAGTTGCCAGTGCAAACTGTTGTGTCTTTGTTCCTTAAAGGGTCACAGAGCTTAAATGAGTTGTGATGCAGCTGAATGATGCAGGGCAAGGGCCAAGGTTAGCTCTGCCAACAGGGTAAATGCTTCTCGTTTCAGAACGGCTCTGTGGCTGATGAATATGATGTTGACCTACTTGGAAATCTAATCTGCCACTTACCTCCAGCCTTTCTACAAGGCAGAGTGTCCCTGAAGGCAATGGCAACAGCCCTCCATCAATTCAAACTCTGCCAACAGCTCAGCCACGAGCAGAAGACTGAAATTAAATACAAACTCCTTGAGTTATATGGGTAAGGTATTAAATACACCACCTTGCTCTTGCTGATGGTCAGGCCATGCAAATACAAAGCATTTGCTTTGCCCAGATGAATTGCAGTGAAAACAGCACAAAGCAGCTTCTGTCACTGGCCAAGCTTGGGGGCTTGTCCACTAGAATGACATTTCTGTTCTTGTGTGTAATGTGATAGGTGTGGAACAAAATACAACCCCAGGGACACCCTGCATGACTCAAGTCCCAGAGGAAAAAGAGAGAAAGTGTAATGTTTGAGGAGGGGCAGGCAAACAGGCTCACTGGCCTGGCAAGAGAAAGGGTGTTACAGGCAAAGAATGGCCCAGGAATGCAAAGAATGGGAAGATGGAAGTAGGATACTCAAGAGTGAGAAGATGAAGAAGACTGCAAGCATCTCTGGCAAAAGGAAAGAGCTAGAGAAGAAACAGAGGGGTATAAATTCAACCATCTGAAGCAAAAAACTGGGCAGCATGTTGGGTGTCACTTGGGTGTCACTGATGGCTCCGATTAGGAGGGTGATTGGAACCACACTATGTATCAGTCATGCAAAGGACAAAGCCATCCTCTGTCTGGCAAGAATACACTGTTTCTCTCTTGCATTGTCTCTTAGAAGTATCTTGCATTTGAAAAGGGAGACAATGCATAGTTTCTAACCATCCCCTCAGACCCAAAGGCTGTCACTTGATCCACCTAATCCTGTTAGATGCTCATTCAGCTTCCTCCTAAGTCAGCATTTTCCTGGTGATAGAATAGAAATATCTTCCACCAGATCTCATCCCTGCATTGATCTTGATACAGATCGATTTTATTGAATCATGGCATACTGTGCTAAATAAGATTTTACTTTATTTTGTATCAGGTCTTTTTGAAAATATTTGTCCAGTCAAACATCCTCCTAGTGGAGCAACAAAGCAAATAAAGTTTTCTGTGAGAACATGAGCTAGTAACAGATTTGTTACTGTGTTCTCCTATAGGCTCTTCCAGGCTGAAAATTACTTATCCAAGTGCTTTATTAAGTCACCCACCAAGTCGGTTGACTAACATTTGTCAGCTCTGTATGATACTTCTACTTCTCTTTTGATACCATTTTGCACATTACTGCTGCTGCAGTATGAACCTGATAGAAAATGGTAAATTTTCTTTCAAAAAAAGAATTATTTCTCCTTGCTTGAACACTGTAATGCAAAAAATACTATGGCTGTTGAGGGAGAGCTCCATTACTGCTGTATTTGAAGGCTTTCTCTGAGTGTATCGAGAGTTCCACTAATGCCCTTTATATCACAGAGAGATGAGAAAATGCAATCTGATGCTAATAACAATGAATCATCATGTTGGCATAGAAGTGTCTGTGTTTCCTATATGATAAAGTATAATAAAAACTCTGAAGTTTTAGTATCATTTTGATTGTAAACATTCTTCATTAATATAATTTTTCAAAATATTTCTTCAGCTCCTCAAACAACTGGACAGCAGCAACAACATTAGATATTGGACCATTCATAGCTCTGCTGTCAAAGGAGGAATTAAATGTCCTTGCTGAAAAGGTATGCTTTTATTATAACTTTTAAATTCATAAAAGATGTTAAAATTTGAATTTATGAATGTCACAATGCAATCCAAATCATATAATCTGAATGCTAAACTAGGTAAATAATTCTCCTGGCAAGGAACCCTGTGTTAATGTTTCACATGTTCTTGACTCCATCAAAATTTCTGAGATTTCTTCTTGAGGGTAATGTCAGTATAAAGGATTATTTGGACGTAAACAGTGATAATTGTACATTGTCACATAGAAAAAATGGGTCATTTATAGTGACACAGACTCATTTTTAGTACTTTACACCTTGCAGGTTTGTTTCCTCCATTCCCTTGCCTTCCAACCATAAAAGTTACGTTTCTTATCCTGTTATTAATGGGATCATATGGATCAAATTAGCATTTACTCACATGGCCCTTTGCCCCAGGGCCAGTGTAGCACATGAATGATAACTGATGGACTCAGCATTGCACTTTGGAGTCTCTTTGCCCTCTTTAGTTCCTATGAGCTTAAAATTTTTATGTATAGGAGTAAACTATACTGGAATGAGGAATTCATTCTTCAGCAGAAATATGTGAGCACAGTCAGCAACTTTTCCACTGGAGGTAAAACTTATAATTGATCAAATAGAACAGGACTCTTCAAAGGAAAGGAAGGTGTCTAGCAGGGTGGAGGAGGGAGCTCAAAAAAAGCCTAAAGAAGGCAAACAGGTCAAAGTTATTTCTCATCATTTAATTGGGTCCCTCTCCTCAATTCTTACACTTGTCTGGCAAATTTAAGACAAGCAAAATAAAGCCCATACAGAATAGTGAAAGTCATTGCTCCAGGAGTGTCTGGACACAGACTCCAATCAGGCAGTGCTCAGGTGTTGCCAGAAACTGAGAGAGCATCCAAGAGAGAGAATCGCTCAGAATTTGCTTTGTTTCTAATTTTTTCCCCTCAAATGTATGCTGTTGACCTTTCAGTAGCAGCCAATTTACTCTCTTCTGAAACATCTGCACAATAGGAAGGAGGCTGAGCTGTTACTAACCCCTGATTTGCTAAGGTCTGCACGAGTCTTTCTCTGCAAATTGGTTTGTTTTAAAAGGGAGAAAGAAGACTCATTTCTTCTTTTTTTTTTCATTTGAAGTTCCCAGACATCATTTTACAAATAGCAAAGACAATTGGACCAGTTTCTTCAGCTGAAGGGCTTTTATCAACTGTGTTTGAGTCTGTCTCCAATGCCACTGCCAACACCCCCTCATCTCTCACCACACCTGGTCAGTATTTGCCTGGTATCTCTGCAAAGTGCCTGGTTCACAGTGGGGCCATTTGGGCACACATGTGGTGGTGCAATTCAAACAGACTTCGTTTCACTTTGTCACCAAATGCATTCTGAGAAGCTGAATAATAAAAAAGAAAGCATTGAGCAACTTAAAGAGGTTCAGACTTTTAGCAAAAGCAGTGAGAGTCTTCATTCTGTTGCCCATAGTTGTATGATGCATTGACTAACTGCTGAAACACTTAATTTCATTACAGGATTGCAGATTAAGCATCTCCTGGAATGATTCTGAGTGCACAAAGGAAAAAGATGAATTATTTGAATTAGAGGGTTTTGTTTATTTTTACTTTTTTTGCTTATTTTTACTTTTCTTTGTAATCTAAGTAAAAATCCTCAAATTAAAAGCCTGTGAAGGTGACAAGTTACCCTTGTGCCAAAAGATTGCACGTAGTTAATCCTTTGCCAGACATGAGCATATGGTGACTCGTCTGTTCCTAAATCTGACAGTGGTGGCACTGTGTTTTTTCTGTCCAAATGGACAAAGTTTATTATCATCTAAAAGGTATTTTAATTAGCAACCACACTAATCTATTAAAATCTCTGGTGACAAATGGATCATTTTGTTTGGATAAGGTACATGATCTGGCTATATTCCTTTATTACAATAAATGTATTCTTTCTCTTACCTGAAATACTTGGGAGCTAATACTGATAACAGTAGCAATTACCAGTGACAGAGTTCTTACATCCATGTCTACATCAGGATAAAAACAAAGGTGGTGCTTGAGGCAAGATGGAACATACAAGGCAAAACTTGGGAATTGTGTGTCCAGCGTGCTACCAGAGAGCAGTGCTGGAGAAAGAATTCAAATTTCTCACCACAAGCACTGAGATGTTATATTATATAGATGTTTTTCATCAAACTAAATTTATATCAAAAGGAAGACTGAAGTAGCATCAGATCCAGGAAGCAAAGTCGGAAGTCCAATTAGTGTTTCCCTCTGTGGTCACACCAATGTATCTGGTGTGTTACAAATAATAAAATCAACAGTTTTTCCAAGGACACGAAGTCTCAGGTTTTCATAACCTGGGGAAGGGAGCTGCACTGTGCCTGGATAGGCAGTATTTATGTGAGAAAAGCTGACCTTTTGCAGCAGGGGAAAGGGAAACAGGGCAGCTGCACAAGAGGGAGGTGTAAAGGGAGAGCAGAACATCAGCTGGTACAGTGGGAGCTGAACTGCATTTTCGTTTGCTCAACAGATTCAGTCTTTTCAGTGTTCTATCCACTGCTGCAGCTTCCTTTGATGCAAATAAATCCCTCCTCTGCCTCCTTTCAAAGTACAAATCTACTTTGTACATCCTCGCTTTAATTTATTTGTCTGGGGGAGCTTAGCTCAGGCACAGCATCTGTGAAATTCATGCTTTTTACTGGTAATGGCTGTATCTGAAGACATGTAGGGATTATTTGGTTTAGATAATTATTTAATAAGGTTTTCCTAAATGAGTGACAGGAGAGAGAGCAGTAAACAACCACATTAGGATTTTAATTTCTGCTTTCCATCAACATTAGAGGTAGATTATGCCAACAAAGACCAGGATTTGTTAAAATACACAATGGAAACTGTCTGGTTTGATCATGCATGGGGCCAGAACCTGCCTGTAAATAAGATTTCTAAAGGCAGTTTGTCTGTCCAAACAGTTCTGTGGTGAGTGAACAGCCCTCTCCAGATCCTGACATTTTAACAACAGGCTTTGACATAAAGAACAAGCAACTGTGCTTCTCTGACACATCCAGCTCCTGTCTGCACCTTGTTTAAATGTCAGGCAAGTCTTACAAGACATACATCTTTGTCAGGGCGTTTCAGAGTAAAAGCACCTCTCCTGTCTGTTACATTGCTGGTGGATTCACTGTTGGGACCTGGAGTTCATTCAGCTGCAGCAGTTTTTGGGGAATTTTTGGAGGCTTCAACGAGGGTCATCCCAAGGATTTGCATTTCACTCTTACTGAAGCAAGGCCCCAGCAAATGGTGGTTTTACCTCAGAATAAGCCTGGGTTTTGATGCCTTTAAGGAATTAGACTTGAAAGAAACTTGCAATATACTGGTTATTCTCATTGCAAATGTCCAGAATTTAGTTTTATTCTGGCATCCTGCATTGTAACTGTTCTGAAATATGTGTCTGCTGTTATTTTCTTGTCCAGCCTTTGGACTATAAAGAATATAATCAATGTCTTGCAAGTTAGACAAATTCTAGTTTTATATCCAGGACATTAACAATGTAAATATTTTAAAAAATATTTAATTACAAAACAATTAATTTATCAATATCACATCATAGTCTGTCACTCTTTTATATATCTATATTGGTTCAATTTATTTTTTCAGTCTCCTTGAAGAAAACTCTTGCTATTTGACTTTTTTTGCCAGATTGCCTGGGAACCAGAGTTCCTTCTTCAGACGAAATAATTAAATTAGCAGAAGCAAATATCTTTTGGTCAGATCAGGAACTGAAATGCATGGACCCAGGGACTTTTGACAAAAATGTGGAACTTCTTGGGACTGTCTCAGGTTTTAACAACTCCCAGCTTACTGCCTTGAAGGAAAAAGCCAAGCAGGTAACTATCCTGTCTGTGATGGGAAATTAAATCTGTAATTTGATTTGCTGTTATTGAACTATGCAGTTCTAAAATAACTGTGCTATGTCAATGTCACTGCTGCTGCAAGAATATCTATGGTTTATTGGAAAAATAATATGAGATGGTGATAGAAGACTATTGCCCTTGCTTCAGAGTCAACAGGCAAGTAGTTCTGAGCTATTGGCAGCTGGAAAAGTTAAATGTTTTTACTTTTGAATTTGTTTTCTGTTTGTTCCTCACTTTTGTTTCATAAATGAAAAATCAGCAAGCAGCACTAGGGGCTGTTGATTGCCCTGCTGGGAGTTCAGCTTGGCATGTTAAACTGTCTACGTTGGTGTTAAATATAGTTTACAGTGGTGTAAAACCAAACTGACTGAAAGAGACTGCTATTAGCTGAATAAAGCTCGTTCTCCCACCTTCTTGTCACAGGCAGGGACAGACAGACCCATCAGTTCGAAATTTTAGGGAGAAAAAAGACCCCAACTGCATTTAGTCTGTCTTTCCTGGGAGCGCACTCGGGACGGGGCTGTGCTGGGGGCAGGTCAGCAGTGTCTGTGTCTGGGGCACAGCACCAGCACAGTGTCTGGGCTCTGAGCAGCCCTGCCTTGGCCTGCTGTGGGCAGGAGGAGAAGTCAGAGCTCGCTCCATGCCTGTTGTTGATGTTGCACTTCTCCCGGGGGGTGACCAGGAAAAGCCTCAGGGTGTGGTAAGATGAGTTGTTTTGGTCGCAGGAGACCCAGAGGTGAAGAGGTTACCATCCCTAGCCTGTCTTCAGCTTCCTGTCACCAGCATCTGCTGGAGGTTATCTGCTCTCTGCTTCCATCTCTGCATGGCCACTCTGTAATCCCCTTCTGTCAAAATGATCCAACATTTTAAAAGTCCTTTTTAGGTTCCATCAGATCATTCTGACAGAATGAGGTTGGGGAGCATCTACAAGTGCAGTTGGCTGCAAGTAGTACAAGTGCAGAGGCTTGGAGATCTTGAGGGATGTGACCTCTGGAGGAAAGCAGGAGCAGGGGACAACGTGGGCCTGAGCAGCATCTCCTTAAACCAGCAGCTGCAGCCACAGTAGTGGAGCTGAAAATGGACTTTGGGTAGGTAAAGCCAACAATGCAATTTTTAGCAGTGAAGCTCAGCTTTTAAAGCACCAGAACTGTAGGTGCTTGAAGAGAAGTGGCACTGACCAGATTCCCAAAACAGGTGGTGGATCTGCAGTCGTGTCTCTGCTGCCTTGCTGCAGTAGGACAACAGGCATCAAATGCATCCTTCTCAGAAAGCTTCCCTCTGTCAGCACAGAGACGTGTGTGTAGAAAAAGGGGAAAAATGTAATCCCAGAAGGAAATAAGAACAGTGTTCCACTGAGATAGTGGGAACTAAAATATTTTACAGCACTGCAACATACTGGTCTAGTTACAGAGTGGTATCTGTTGTAGGGAAATTGCCAGCAAGGTTAATGCCCTCACATTCTGGCTCTATTCAGTTCAAAGGTACACAGATCTGTAGGGCACTGAATGGAATTATATTGTGTGTGAGTGTTTGTAAAACAGATTGCTGCTAGGCTAAGGCAGACTTCCTATATATTAATTTGCAAAATGCAACATGGTGTTACACTGAACGTGAAGCATCAGAAATCAGACAGTACAGGCAAAGCTCTTTGAAATTATGTGCTGTTATGTTATTAACTAAAGGGCATCTTTGATTAAAGGTTTCATTAAGCCTGCTTTAATTTCTTCTAAATTGATTGATTTCCCCTAAAAGAAAATGCATACTCTACTCATTGTTCCAAACTAATACAAGAAGTCTAGGTATCAGATTGTGTCTTAATGAAAGTAAGAAGCTTAGCTCACTTGTAAGTGGAAGGTCTCCCAGCTCTGCAATAGTGACAGATGTATGGATCTGTGGTCCCCAGGTGAATGAGGACAAAGGAGTGTTTCAGTTTCATGTGTTGTGTTATTTATATTGATATGCCTGAGATTTTACCCAGCACTGTCAGATAATACTATTTATGAAGTGCTTCAAACTCTGCATTTGATGACCTAGATCAGGACAGAGATGCAGGACATTTTTTCCTGCTTATGTTTCCTGTATCTCTTCAGCTAGAGAATTAGGAGCCTTAAAATTGGGCTAAAGCTTTTTACTGTCTATTTTCTTTGGAAGAGATTGACATTTCCCAGGCTTAGATCCTTTGTGTGTTTCTTTATGACATCGTAAAACCAACATAAAAGATCTGTGGAAACTCAGTCGGGAGGTGCAGGTCCAGCAATGTGTCTCTTAAACAAATCCTTAACCTGAGGGTCACAGTTGGGAAAAGCACCTCGGCAGCCCTGATATGCACCTTGGTATGAACAGCAGAGAGTCTGCACCTCTGTGTAAGGAGTATTTAATTCCAGAGATACAGATTCCAGAGCCCTGCTTTTGTATTTTATGGAGGTTGTACAGCTGCATAAGTATCTGGAGGTGCAAACACTCTTTAGTAGGCAACTGCATATAGTCTTCAGTGAGTCCTTACTAGCTTTGTCCTTTCTAATTTTTTGGACAAAACTTAAATTGTAGGTATCCTGAAAATGGAGTCAATATTTCCATGAATCAGACAGCATGAACCACCAGCTTAGCCCAGCATTGGGCTTCTAGTTTTTATTTTCTAAGTGAAGTTATAAGCACAATCTTGTACTAGAAAACTGTCATGTATTGACTGACATAAAGGAGAGTTGCTGAAGTACATGAGACCTTTAAAGTGAGATTTCTTTTCTTTTTTAAATTATGCCTGTCTTGTTCAAGTCACTTCCTCCAGCCAAAACCCAGGGTCTTTTTCTGTAAAGGCAATTGGCCACATCCGGAGAGACACTGACCACCGACTACCCTCTTCTGTCTTTGCCAACTAAATGTAACTGACAGTCCTGGCCTCTGAAAGTTCAGTTCTTGATGGACTCTTTGTATTCTTTATTCAGGCAGACCTTTTATGAAATCAAAATTTCCTTAGGGTTGATCTGTGACAGCTTTTCAATCACTGCAACTTTACCACAGACAAAGTTAAAAGGAGGGGAACTTTTCCGTTTAAATACATTGGTACTGATTTGGAAGAGGCCCTGCTTATTTCTTTCATTTTTCACAAAGCTTTTTAAGTTTAACTGTATCTGTACAATCACATTTAAGTTATTTTTTATTTTAATGTTGTATGAACACAAGTGAGAAATCAGAACTTTAGGAACTGGCTATTTATCTATATTACCCAATTCTCTGCTTTGATTTCTGCTTTCTTTCTCAGTGACTGAGCCATGGTGACTGGTCACAAAAGCAATTTAAAGTCAGTTCCCTGGAGCGATTGCAGCTGGGTAGAAGCCTGGGTAGTCCAGATACTGCTTTTGTGGTAGCAGTGTAACAGTGTGGATCTAGGCACAGATTCCCATTTTTATTGGTTTTAGTAGTTTTGCTCCTACAGCCACACTTCCAGCAGTCCCTGTTCTGACTTATCAACAAGGCCAAGCTGTAAAAATTGCAGCATTTTTAGATAAACTAAGCATAATTGGTGTAGAACCTCAAAAACCTTCACAATACCTAAACTCTGCCTCTGGTGCACAAAGAGGAATACTGCAGGTTTTGGGACTTTTAAAACAAGGGGGGTTTGAGAATGGTGTATGTAGAGGAAGACTCCTAATGACCTAACAGACGTTAATGAATCTCTTCTAAAGGTCTGGGGGTTGCTGCCTGACTGGAAGAGTTACCACATTGTTTCCCTGGGTCGCATTGCTCTGGCCCTCACTGAGCACGAAATCCAAGAGCTGGATTTGCATTCCATCGACACTGTTTCTGTGCTTAGTCAGCAAACAGAGTGGACTCTTACCCAGGTAAGTATCTTATTGAATGTACTCCTGGCGAAGGGCTCTGGCTTCACACCCTTTGGGACTGAAGTCCTGGAATGGCCTAGGAAACAGATCCAGGGACCCACGCTGCTCCCTGCTGCTCTCCTGCAGCTGTGACCCCGGTGAAAGTGGGCAGGTAGGTCAGCACTGGTGTCTGCCTGGTGCTGGCTGCCCTGGTGAGGTGGCCCAGAGGACATCAATCACTGTTAACTGGGGTGCTGACGAGTGTGTTCTTTAGCACTTGCCCACTAAGTAGTAGAAAGAGGTCAGCAGCTCCTCTCACATTGGCCCTGGAATAGACAGTACAGCTGGGAGACACCAGTCCTTCCTAACTAAAGTAACCACTGCAGAGGTAATGTGCTCCCAACCCCAGCAACCATTGCTCTAGAAGCCTGTTATTAGCAAATGTGCTCCTCTCATCTTTCTTTCCTCAAATTCTAGTTATGTCAATGGGACTTTCACAGTAAGAGTTAAAAGCTTTTATTTGTATATGCAATTAGCAGCAGCAGATTTTTGACTTTGTGGCCCTTACCGTCAGGGCTCTGTGGTTGCACGGTGGCAGTTTTGGCAGAACATCACAAATCTGTTTAATGGATTCTTGTTCTGTAGAGCATCATCCGAAGGAAGCACTTGGGAGGATTTTATACAATATTAGTTTGCTTTTGAAGTTTCCTGCTGTCAGTAAGAATAGCCTGTTAAGAGATCCTGCCTAACTTCAGTTGTCTAAAAGTCAGGCAGCTACTTTAAGCTAAGTCATTTGAAGCTCAGCATTGTGGATAGATAAGGAAATCTTGGAAGATGCTTGCTTCTTCCACTGACTTTGGAGGATGCCTTTGGCTTGAGCTAGACTCACAGTTTTTAAATGGTTAGTTTAGGACGAGCACAGTTCTAAATTACTTTGGCTTGCAAAGGCACTTTGATACCAACATCCCATTCATATCTGAAAATTAATCTTAAAGAGAGATCACCACCTATATATGACACTTAAATAAGACAAGGCAACCTGAATATTAAAACAAATAAAAACTACATATTGATCCCATTAGTATTGTATGTTTTCTTCTAGCAATTTAACTGATTTGGGCATTTGCCCGTTTCTTCTGGTGTAGGGTTTCCTTGTGACCTGGCAGAGGAGGTACAGAGTGTTTTCACACCATTTGTAGTTGGGAAGTGGTTGTGTAACAGTGCCCTGCTTAAGTGTCACATATAGGTGGTGACAGTGCTCCTCCTGAAGGCCGTGGCCATGCATTGGGGAGGCTCAGGATATATATTTATGCTCCAGAGCTTCTGCGAAGATCTTAAGCTTCTAGTAACAAAACCTCCCATTCTATTTACTCTGTTCATGGTTACTGTCTTACTGCTTTTGTAGGCAAGATCTATTTTGGAAGGGTTTCTAGAAGACTCTGGCCAGACCATCAGCACACTAAAAAGCTTTGATTTAGTTGGATTAGGAGCTATTCTCTGTGCTTTGAACTCCACAGAAATCATGTCCATAAGGACTGCTGAATTCAGGTACTGCACTTTATACTTAATGAAATATTTATTCGTGTCTCTATTGATAAAATTTATTGTCCCATTTTTGTTCTGTCAAGATTTTCAGAGTCCAAAGGACACCATTTTACATTTTAAATGTTTTTAGAAAGGCAATAACTGTTATGGAAGGCATACAGCAGTTGTTTAAAACATGTTCTATTTTAGGTTTCCTCTGCCATTTATATCCCACTATTTAAATATTGCATTGAGAAATCCAGGATTTTGCTTAAAGCCTTAAACTTTTGTATGCAATTTGTGTACCTATATTTTAAATTGACAATTGGGTTCAGCAGTCATCTTACAGCAGACTATGCATATTCCAGGCATATTTAGTACTGCATGTTGACTGTAGCATGTAATGTTGCCCTTGTTGCCTTTTGCAGTGCTGCAGTTGCAAGAATTGGCCTGTTGGTTTGTAGCACCCCTGTTCTGAGGCAGTTTAAGAAGATGACAGAATCTGTGTTTGGTGCTGCTACCAGCTGGAATGGCTCTGTCTTACAGGAAATTGGTACTATAGCAGGTAACAAAATTCAGGCTCCAGATGGTGTTGGCTGTGAAGTCTTGTTATTCAGCATTAAGAGACAGGTTCACGTAGCAGTGAATTTTTCTAGACTGGCAGAAGACATTTCTTCCAGAGAGGAGTCACCTGCAGGGATTGGACATCCAGCAATTCCATTGGCAATAAGGAAAAGTCGTGGTATTCCCCATAGGGTTCTCTCTCATCCAGTCAAACTGACCTTGGGAAGCACAGCCTGAAGTCACTTGGGTCCTGTAAGTTGGAAAGGGTAAACTAAAGAAGGCAAAACCAACCAGGATTCCAGAGACACTCTTTGTGCACCAGGCTGCTGCAGGAGTGGCTGCACTGCGTTGGAGCAGTGCTGACACAGCATCCTGCCTCCAACAGGGGAAAGAATGGGCTGCCTAGGGAACAGCAACAGGGCAGGACTGGCCTGCAATGACACTTCTCCAGAGTGTTCTCACAGCCTCGGAGGCTCCCTGAGCCAGGGGTCACACACCATTTTGTTCATGGATTTGTTTCCCTGTGATCGTTTAACTGCACATTGAACTCCCATAAATTTTAGCATCCCTGATGCCTGTGGCAATGATTCCACACTGGAACTACTTAATGGGTGAAGAAGTAGCTCCCAGTGCATGATTATGCTCCCTAATCTTGCATCAGAAGGGGCTGTAACAAGCATTCACTAATAACACTGTTTATTATTTTATTGACTTTAATCATTCTCTTTTCCAAGATAAAATAACTTGGGTAGAGCACATTCCATACAATGGTTAAGGTCAGATGTTCTGTAATATTGGAAGATAATGAAAAAAAACCCAAAACAAAAAGAGAACCAGTATCTCTCTCTATAACGCCCTGTAATAAACTATTTATTAGATATTTTGTATAAATGCTTAAAATTTGTATTAGCTTAAAAAATAAATCTAATAAAAAGAACATTAACTGAGTTTTGTTCCTATGGTTTGGGTTTTTTAGGTGGTTTGAATGAGGATGAATTAAAAGCTGTTGATAAAAGCTTGATGCCATATTTCCAGCCAGCAGCAGTAAGACATATACCTCCTGAAATATTCCAAGTAAGAGCTCTGTTATGAAGAAGTGGCTAAATTTCTATCATTTTTACTCTACTATAAATAAACTGCAGCACTGATTTATAGGTTTTGGATTTCAGCAAAAATTTCTCTATGGTCTGTTAAGTGAGAGACCATCAAGGATCTGAAACATTAACTTTGAGCTGTATCACCTGTACTTGTGATGAAATATGCTGGACAAGCTTTATTTATTCTTCAGAATGCATCCCAAAGAAAAAGCAGGGAACAGACTCTCTTTTTAGCAGTATTGCATTCAAATCTGGGGTTTCTTCTCTGTTTATTAACATTTGCAAGGGTGCTATAACAGCTACAAATTTCTCTGCTGAGTGTGTAAGAGCTGTTTTATTAACCTAAAATCTGGCAGCATTCCACTGAGTTAGCTCTGACAAAACAGATTGTACAGACAGATACAGATCGGAAAGGAATTACATCTAATTACAGCAGTTCTGAATGTGGACCAGAAATTAGAACAGGGATCTTGAGATCATTGCCCCGGACTTTATTTGACTTAGTGACAAGATTAATATTCTGCCTAGGCTGGTCTCTCTCAGATGCTCAGGCAAGCAATGTACTTATGGGCAGATGAGCTAAACAGATAGTTAACTGTGTCAGCTCCCATAAAAGAGAAAAACTCCTTGAACACTGACTGTTCTGCACAGCACCACTGACAGTTTAGATAAGCCTGAAATGCCCTTAGTGAAACTATTTCTTTGAAAAACAGATCTATAGCATCTCATAGAGTTTCTATCAAATAGCAGAGATTTCTGTTTGTAAGAGTGGTAATGATACTACAAAAAGTACTTAACAAATAACAGGGCACCTTTTTGGAAGAGTTTTCTGTGTTTGAAAGATTCAAAGCAGATTTTGGTTTTACACAGGTTTTGTATGGCTTCCTTTTGCAGCTGTATACGTTATTCAGATTTTTATTCATGAAAAATTGCATTGTATTAAGGACTTTAACTGAGTTAAGAGGAAGCTCAATTCAAAATTGGACCTGTAGGTATTGACATGAATTTGCTCAGTTTAAACGAGCTCACCTTTGGCAGACAATGAAAAATGGGCAAGGATTTGCTCCATCATCTGACCTACTTGGAAGGGGAATTTTGTCTTTCCAAAGTAGAACCTGGATGCAGAATTGTTGCAGGAAAGAAGGCTTGTTGTGTAGGAGGGTTAAAATGCTTATGACTGCAGAATGTTAACTAGAAGCAAAGCAATCCAGCATGCCCAATAATGCAAACTGGGTAATTGCTATGTGATATAATTACTGTAAGATTATGATTGCCATGTTTAATTTTTAAATTTATTATAACCAAACTGGGAAGATTTTCAATCTAAAAGAGAAAATTGGATAATCAGATTAAAGCATGGGGTTTTTTCATCTCATTGCTCTACTGCTAACTATAATCAAAGGTCAAATGTCGGTTCAAGTGAGGTTGCTCAGGAGCAGATGTAAGAGGAAGGAAATGAAAACACAAGAGGATGCACAATGGCATCAGTCTTTGAGCAAAATCAGAAAAGAAATGGCTGGAAAATTAAACTTCAACAAAATATTGAAGAAATGTCCAATACAGTGCTGGCATAGAAAGCTTCTCAGGCTGTCAGCTCCCAGCATCAAAGAGAAAGGTGAAAGACAGATGAGTGGTCAGGGAAGTAAATGAATACAGAGGATTTTTTTAAGCTCTATTGAGCTCTTTTATAGCAACACAATGTTGAAGGCTACTGTCCCTCATTCCAAATGCAAGACAGTGCTGACTTCTGATTCCTTACCTGCCTTCTATAATTGACAGCCTAAACCAATTTTTCTGTCTTTTATTCCTCCCAGGCATTGTCCCCAGAACAAATAGCAAACCTGGGCCCTGAAAATGCCGCCATGGTTACGGGATCACAGCAGGAGCATCTGGATGCAGCACAGCTCCAGAGCCTGAGGCTGGCGCTGGATGGAGCCAGGACCAGCCCCCTCGAGGCACAGAGCAGTGCAGGATCCACCCAGGAGGTGCAAACCCCGGCTCCAAGTGGTGAGTGGAGTCTCTTCCTCCCCCTGCTCGGGGAAGGGCACACACCAGTGGGGTGTCGCAGCATCCAGCAGGGCCAGACCTCTATTGTGAAGGTGGGTTACAGTGAGTTTACTAATCAGCTTTTTCAGTCGTGCCTCAAACCACAGGCCTGACCAAGACAAACAGCCAGGACGTTGTTGGACTTACCCACAGCACGAGGTAATGGAGGAAGGCTGTCAGATGGCATTAACAGCTCTCTGCTGCTGGTAGCATTACACTGTGCAAAGCACTAACTTGTGTAAAATGGAGTCTGAAACAGTCAGCTTTTCCCTCTCCTTCTTTCCCATATTCTTTGCCTCAATTTAAGGCAGGACTCTCTGTCTCTGGGTGTTCAGGGCACAACCTTTACCTGCAGCACAACATGGTTTGCAGAGCTGCAAGTGGGAAAGGAGGTAGCACTGGGGTGGATTAGCATCTTTATTCAGACTCTAGGACCCACTGAACATTTTTTCCTGCTATCCCCATCCTATTTGGAATTAAAGCCTATTAGCACCTGTGCTTCAGAGGTTTAACCTCTTACTTCTCCATATTGCAGTTTATACAGGACAAGTTACACTGGCAGTGTTAATGGGTGTGTTACAGTGAGGGAGAGTGTGCACATAGTCAAGCCAAGGCTGAGAAATTATCCCTGTCAGACAGCAAATGTTGTTGCTTCCTGTGACACCAGTGAGACATAAGCTGTTGAAGAAGAGAGAGGGAAACTGAAGTGCTAAAACAGAAGTGAGGGGAAATAAATTTCTATGATGCCCTTTCTGGAATTAGAGCAGAGCTTCCCGGAAGCACCTGGAAGGTGCTCTCAGCCCAGCTCCCTCCCACAAGTGACCTGTTCCTCCTGGAGACATGCCAAAGGGAGGAGTTTTCTGGGTAAAGATAACCTGAGTTCTTGAGCTTCTTGTTCATTGTTGCTGTCTCTAGGGAGTACCACCCTATGAAATGCTTCTTTTTGGAGCTGTGGATGTTAAACTGGAAGTAGCAGTTCTGGCCAGTGATGTCTTTTGAGCAGCTGAATGCAATGAGGATTCAGCTGGTGGGATTTGCTGCACCTCTTTGGGGCAGTGTAGATAAGACTGTACTAGACCTGAACTTTAGCGTGACACTGAGACATAATGGTTTCTGCCTTCCAGGTGCTCCTTGTTTGAGCAGCTTTGGCATCTGGTTGTGTGCTGTGTTTACACTGCACCTGCCTTTCTGAACCTATGATCGTGAATCTTGAGGTAAGTTATATTTTCAATAAGAGGTAACTTTAGAACAGAAGTATCATTCACCTGTAACAGTGAAGGAGGACTGTGGGACCCTCTTCCTGCTTTGAATACAGAGATAACAATGTCTTGTTACAAAGGTGTCTTGTACCTCTGTTAGACTATCTCTGAATCTAATCAAGGGGAAAGCACTTTATCTTATCTTTATTGTAAAGCCAAACATAACAAAAGTATATTTAAAATTCCATGTAACACCAATCCATTACTGCCTTGTTATTTGGCACATGTTCTAGGTATTATCCTGGTTTGCCTGCTCCAGTCAATTTATAAGACTTTATTCCACAACCACTTTGATAATCTCCATTTAAAAGAATGTTGCCATTAACTTTCATTGGATTTTAACATTTTGACATGCTAAATTCTAATGAAAGCACTGGTGGGCTTAAGGTAGAGATTCCAACTAAACAAACTAAATGCTTAAGTATTCTAACTTAATCTTTAAGACTGCAAAGCAAGGTATGTCAAAAGACTTAATATTTTTCTTTGTTTTTTTATTTCCAGAGTCCTGGAGCTTACAACAGATATGCTAGAGAAAAAGAGTTTCAGCTCAGCATGAACAGTAGAGTCAAGAGGCTCTGAGACTTCTGAGTGCAAAGTGATTAATTTTTTAAAAGCAACACACTCATCTGCCATCATGCTGAGAATTATTTCCTTTCCACACCTTTACCATTAGCAAGTAGCTCAGTATCCCTCCAAATACTTCAAATTTCAAAACTAAAAATGGTCAATCTGTCTCATGAGAAAATCAGTGACAGATAAGATTATGTGTTGGGAAGGAACCTGAATGACCTGGGGGCAGGTAACAGGGGACTGCTATTTGGAGGCTTATGTCTGGTACCCAGTGCTTTTTACATGGGCTAATTTGGCCACACTATTGTACCAATCTGTTGGGTTTTCTTCTACTTCAAGTGTACATTCCCTGGACTGGGGCGATCCTTCTGTGTGATGTAGTAGAAACTGCACTAAAAGTTATTACTGTTGCAATAAAATAACTTCTGGGCTGCTGGTTTAAATCCTGCTCAGATAAGAAGTGATAACACGTTTTTAGAATTTAAGCACCTGCACCTGTTTGTATTCGACACAGAACTGGTGACACTGGCATTGGCAATATATTAGTATTTAATGTGAAAAAATGCACCATGGAAACCTGCTTGTGTTCATCAAGAGACAGTCCCTTCACTTCAGGCAGGGTTGAAGTGTACATCTGGGAATGCTAAGGGAAAACTGTGCACTGGGTCTAGTCTATATACTACTAAGACTCTACATACTACTACAAGCCTCTGCATGTAAACATACATTTTGATGCTGCTCATCATGATTTTATGCCAAGAATTCATGGTACAGTTTTCCATTTTGCCATTTTAAAAGTCTTTATCTTTTCTAGATTAAAGGTGGCAATACATAGACTGAAAAGTTTAGCTTTGTTATTCAGGGCTGTACTGTAGTAAATGCCTTTCCAACTGTTATTTGTATTTCTTTGTGGCAAAAATTACATCTGGATTCTCACCCCTGAAAACATAACTGAAATTTTGCTGAGATGGGGAAGCAATAGGAGTGGGCTGAGAGGGAGAGCTTCAGGGAAGAGTCTTGCTGCTTTGCTGCTGCTGGGGAAGGTGAATGTGAGCTGTTGCTGCTGTTGGGAATAACAGTTCCCACCACAGTCCCAGAGATTCTGTAATTCCTGCAGCAGCAGGAGCCAACCTGATTTTCGGGGCTTTGTTATTGGCAAAGTAGGAGTGAGAGCATGGCCATTTTCACCCCCCTCTCCCTTTCCTCCTTCAGCAATCTGCTGCCTTTGCCTGTAACCAGCCCTGTCAGATGTGACATGATGTTACACATAATACTACATGCTTTAGTTCTGCATTTTATAAGCAAAGAACTCTTGATTGCTGCAAACTGCCTGGCACCTTTTTCTTGAATTCTAATGGTGAGATTCCAGCTTTTCCCATCGTGTTTCCTTTTCTGCATTTGAACAGTAGATTGGAAAATTTATTTAAATAGCAAGAAATTTGTTTTATCAATCCCAGCAAATACTCGTGAATGCCCACTAAAACCGAAAAATACTCCAGTGGGTCAAAGACCTTATAAAGATTTATCTGTGTTTTCACATTAAAAAGTTCCACCTCACTTAGATGTGAAAGTACCAAAAGGTTGTTTGATTTCTAGAAATTGCCTGACTTGAATTCTGTGTGCACTTCAGTGAAGATGCAGGAGAGTGTTTTCATGTCAAGACGACAGTCAGCATTTCCAGTTCAGCTGCCTAAGTCAGATACGTGCCTTAGCTATAGCAAGCACTTCAAAAATCTATATGAGCTGCAAGTGATCTTCTTCTGTCAATAAAAGGTACCTGGGAGTGATTCCATCTGCAATCATGGGAGTCAGAGTTTAGCTTTTAATTGGAGCAGGAGTGAGCTCTTTGTTTTGTGCCATCTGTGCTGTAATTTCTTTCAAGCACAAGTGCTTTTTAATAGCTGAACTCCTTGATTACTTATATATTTTATTAAATTAATAATTCTGTTAAGAACTTTGGCATTGCATTTGGTTGAAGATGCATCTATTTTTTTACAAGAGTAGTGTAGGAGGGGTAAATGTGGAGCACCCACTTAATGTCCTTATTTCATGGTGAGATTACAAGTCCTATTTGGTTCATGAGATGGCGTGAGCATCTTGGATGGCAAGTATTCTAGAAAAGGAATTTTACTCTTGCCAATGAGTAAAGGTCACTGATGGAAAAGCCCATTCTACAAAATCTGTGTTTCATGAGACGCCTCCCTCAAAACTGTTGAAACTGAATTTCTGTGGGAAGAATAGATGGAAAGGAGAGAGAGGCATGGAGAGCACTAGTATGCATGGTATGTAATCCATGTATGTAATCTGCTATCCATTCACAATCCAGCACACTCCCATGGCTAAGAGGAAAATCAAACATGTACACTTTCCTTTTTACTCCTGTGAAACAAACCACAGAACCCCTTCATGCAGATATCCATTATCCACAGGATCCAGTCATATGGATCTGTCCCCTGTGCAGATGTCTATCACATACAACATGCATGTGATCACTTTTACTGGAATGCATTCATGGGAAAAATGTCTCACAGTCCCTCTCTTTTCCCATGATCAGGATTTGGGAGAATCCCAAAAAGAGAAATGTTGTATAAAGATTTGACTCTTAAAGAAATGTTGCTGTTTGTTGTAGATGTGGATAACATTAGTTTAAACCAAGCTTAATTTTTCCTATATTCTTTCTAGTTCTTTTGGTTCTTTGAGAATGAAAAAAAGTAATCAGATTTGGGCATCAATCTGCTGTTGAATATATATCATGACAATAATGCTACTTACTCCAGTCCACTTGTGACTCCTCTGATGGTTGCTGGGCAGTGCCATGCATCCTGTGGAATGTCCATCCAACTCTTCACAGTCTGACCTAACTCTGGTGTAGGCCTGGCTCTTCTGGGTGTTGTGAGCCATGTGACAGGTGCCCCTGTCTGGCAGTATGTACAAGGAGGTATTTCATTTAATTCCTTTGATTGGAATTAAGAGGTTAACAGATGGGAAGAAATACTTTGTTGGCTGATTATTTCAGTGCCTGATACCTTTATATTCAGAATTGTGTTTAGAAAAAAGAGGGGGGCTACTGGTTCTGGATCATCAGTAGGGAAAATATCTCTATGACTTGGTACTGAGGCAAATGCCACATTTGTGGTATCTTTAAAATCCCCAAAGGTTAAAAAACAACTACCCATCCCCAATGTCTGAAAACTGTCCCTGTTAAAGCTGGCATTATGGCTGTTGTCAGGTTTTGTGCAGTACATGGAATGTTTCACTCCTGGTGATCCCAATCTGTCACATCAGAGCTAACCAACTCTTCAGGGTGAGGCTCTAAAGATTCTGCTTAAAAAAAAAAGGAAAGGTGCCCTTCCTTAATTTTAAGAAGCTCTTTTTTCCTCTGTATAATCTGCTCAGTTATGTACTGCATTATGGCAGATTTACCTTATCACTTGACTGCTGCCCCCAGGGACCATCCCCACCTCATTTATTTTCCAGTAACACAAATTGCAGCCCCATCATATTGGACTGGGACCTTTTCAGAGTCCCACTGACTGCCCACCTTGGAGCAGATGCGAGACATGCCCCAAGGTGTGCCAGACAAACCTGGGGCTATAGGAGAGGTCTGACTCCAAGGACACTCAGAAATAAGCAAGGAATCCAATAGTCGCCTGGAATGTGCCACTTGAGCAGGTAACTGGCTGGAGAGCACGTGCTGGTATTTTGGCTCGTGCTGTGTTGTGGTTATAGACACCACACGCTGCTTCCCAGTGGGGCAGTGCCAATTCCAGCACAGCAGTCGAGGAACGGAATCATCAAAGTGCAGCACCTTGTTTCCCTGTGGTAGCTCGGCTTCCTTTGAAGGAGAAATCAAATTTCAAATAGTCTCTTCCTCTTTTTCTTTTTCTCCCTCAAAAAGGGCTGATAATTTAAGGCTGATACACAACTTAAAGCAGTGTGGTCTCTTCATCTCAGTGAAAATGTTTAAATGTTTTTTATAAATTTGTGGAGGGCGTTGGGGTTTGGGCGTTTGGTTTTTAAGTAAGACCTGTAAGCAAGGAACTAAGCAGAACTAAGAACCTTATAGTCCTGATTAGTAAAATATTCTCTGCCCTGTCATATGATGTTGGACAGCCTTGGGCACTGCTTACTCCAGTGCTGTTGAGGTGAGGGATTTGACTTCCCTTTCCTATCCAGGTACCCATAATTTCATATTTTAATAAAGTGTCTGATCCAGTATCAGGCTATCTTTCCATATCTGTATACACAGTCCTTAAAAAGAGAAATTATAAGACTAACTCATATACCCCACCTGACATCAGGACATGTAGCAGTTTTCTACCATAGGATATTTTTATCAAAATTCACATCTAGTTTTTTAATTGTACCCAGAAATAGATAGTCTCCAAACATATTACATTTTTTCTGCAATGAGTAGAAAGCAGCCAATGTCCATCTGTCTCTTCCTGCCCCTTTCTATTCAGCATCATTCTGCTTTTCCAATCCGGATTAATGAGAGGATTTTCTTGCCCTCATGATGCAGGAACACAGGCATGTGCAGAGCTCACAGTCCAAGTGACTATACATTGAAATATTAAGTGGAGGAATTGTGATTGCTGGATTTCTTGCTTTATGCTGGCAGCAGCATAACATTTATCTTCTAATGTTTTAGCTGGTATTAATAAGCCTTAGAAATACTTAACAACATCTCCCTTAATATCTGTGGTCTTTGGAGGACAAGGAGAAAAGAAAAGAAGGCAAGAGTAAAATCATAAAGGAAAAATACAAAAGCAGTGGAAAAGGCTAATAGCCACAAATACATGGTATTTTCTAGTACTGCTTTCCCCAATATCTGTTAACTGTTGTATATAGAAATTAACTGTATTGATTTATCAAAGAATAGCCATTGCATAGTTAAAATCATGTGTTGGTTTGATGCACAAGCTGCCTTAGGTCATCTTTAATTGGGGCCTGACATGTTTCAATATTTAATCAGATGTCAGAAAACAACTTAGATCACAAACAAGTTCTGAATATATCCTGCATGAATTGAGAAGGGGGTTGAGAGAGAATGGATGTCAGCTCTCTGCCTTTAATGTATCTATTAAAATAGATTCCAGATATGCATCTGTCAGTGTTTTTATTAGCTACTTTTATTTCAGTATTCATCCTTTCAGAAGTGTTTAGATCAGAGGTATTAAATGTACATATTTCAATCAAGCCTGTGTCAAACAGTCTGTACCACAGACCTGGGGAGTTCTGCCAAACACTGTTGCCTTCAGTGCAAATTCTCCAGGTACTAGATTTGGGTTCCTAACACGTGTCCTCAAATGCGCAACTCACTGGTAGTTACATCAAACATTATTTGATGCCAAAAAATATTCAATATCTGTTTAAGATAATTAGTCTATTAGACTTCAAATCTATTAAAGTTTTCGAATGAACTCTTCTCTTAGGGCATTAGAAGTGTAAGGTAAGAGATACTATGGAGCTTGTCAAGGAGTTGTACTGCTGTACTTGTACACACAGTGATGTAAGAGGACAGGCTTTGATTCCTAATCTCTGAAAATAAGTAAATTTGTTTCTGTCACACTGTGGGTACTTATTAAAAAAGATAAACTCCATAGGAGGTACTAATCAGTTCTCTGTTCTTTTGAGGAATATGTAAGCTCTTTAAAGATTGCAATATTTGTGCTACATTTTAAACAGGAAAATTAAAGATTGCAGTTAGGATCCTTTTCATAAATTTTCAAACAATCCATAACCTTCTGCTGTGGGAAATTTTCTGTATATTGCTCTATAACAGGTAAGTCCTCACGCTATTTCGTGAAACAATGTAAACCAAGAGATTTTTAAGAAATAAGTTACCCCACAAAGCACCACTGTTCAGCTGGGATTTCTACAGTCATTGGAAATGCCATTCCTGTGAGGCTATTCCTAGTTTTCTGGGTTATTGTTTGGATTGTCGCCTTTTTTTATGGAGAACATCGGAGAGTTATCAAGAGGAGATGCCTCTGTGAACTGCTCACTGAACTCTGCTGGTGATGTCCCCTTTCAGGGTAGGGATTCATGGCTGTGAAGAGGCACTGTGCTGACTCGCAAAACCCGACTGCTGCAAGGAATAATTGCCTTTTTCTTTTCTTGGAAGATTTCATAGAATCAGAGAATTGTTTGGGTTGGAAGGGACCTCTGGAGATTGTCCAGTCCAACCGCAGGACAAGGCAGGGTCACCTGGAGCAGGTGATACAGGAATGTGTCCAGGTGGGTTTGGAACGTCTCCAGAGAAGGAAGACTCCACGCCCTCCCTGGGCAGATGTTCCAGAGCTCTGCCACCGTCAATGGGAAGAAGTTCTTCCTCATGATGAGGTCGAACTTCTTGTGTTTTAGCTTATGCCCATTGCTCCTCGCCCTGTTGCTGGGCACCACCGAAAAGAGTCTGGCACCGTTCTGGCACAGGTTGCCCAGCGAAGCTGTGGCTGCGCCACCCCTGGAAGTGTTCAAGGTCAGGTTGGATGGGGCCCTGAGTAACCTGGTGTAGTGAGTGGCATCCCTCCCAAGGCAGGGGCGTGGAACGAGACAATCTCTGAAGTCCCTTCCAACTCGAACCATTCTATGACATCCATGATTCTGTGATCCACTTGGCACCCGCCTCTGAGATATTTATATGTATTTATGAGATTCCCCTCTCAGTCTTCTCTTCCCTAAACAGGCCCAGCTCCCGCAGCCTTTTCACATAAGGGAAAGGCTCCAGACCCCTCACCACCTTTGTGGTCTCCGCTGGACCCGCTCCAATAACTTATATAGATTTTCACCTAAGAAGATACTAAACATGCATCAAATCAACTGCTCGTTTTCACAGAACACGACAGCAGCTATTAATATATATTTATTAGCTCTTACATATCTAAACTGCTGAGTTTAGACACCCAAAAACCCCGAGGGCCGAGCCCCAAAGCACTCCCCCGCCCGGCCCGGCCCGCGGTTCCCGGGGCGGCCCCGGCTGAGGGCGGAGCGGGGCGGGCGCTTCCCCCCCCGCTTCCCGGCGTGCACCGGCGCGGGGCTGCCTGGCCACGTCCCCGGGCCACGTCGCTCGGTGCCCGCTGAGCTTGCGCCATCTTCGCTCCCCGGCTCCGGCTGCGCCGCCGCCTCTGCCGCCGCCGCCATGAACATCTTCCGCCTCACCGGGGACCTGTCCCACCTGGCGGCCATCATCATCCTGCTGCTCAAGATCTGGAAGAGCCGCTCCTGCGCGGGTGCGTGCGGAGGCCGCGGGGCGGGACCGGCCGGGCGGCTCCGGGCCGTGGAGCCCCCCCCGGGGGGGAGCCCCGCCGGGGGCAAGGCGGCATCACCCCCGCAGCGCCGCGGCCGCTGCGATCGCCCCCGCGGGGCCGCGCCCCGGGGGAGCCCGGCGAGCCGGGATGGGGTGGGGGGTCCCGCCGGCCCGGGAGGGGCCGTGCTGGAGCGGGGAGAGGCGGGGAGGGGGGATCGACCCCCCTGGGGCGCCCCCGAGGGCTCCCGGGGCGGGCGGGCGAGACTGGGTCCGCGCAGGTGAAAAGGGACGGTCGGTCCCTCCGCGCAGGGGAGGGGGCTCTGTCCTCCTCCTGACCTCTCCTCGGCTCGGCCCCCTCCAAATGCAGCGCTAGGGAAGCGGGCGGGCAGCCGGGAATGGGGGGAAGGAGGAGCCGCATCCCTGCTCGGGGTGGGGGGCGCCGGCGGGAGCTGCCGTTCCCTGAGCGGTGTTGTGGTTACAATTATTTGTACTTTAATCCCTGGGCACCGCCGCTCCGGCCGTGCCCGGGAGGGTCGCTCCTTCCTTATGTAACTCCCCGGCGGCGGGCGAATGAATGGGGAGGCCGGTTTGGAGGAGGGGAGGGGGAGGAATGCGTCCCCCGCGGGGCGGGCAGCCGCCTCCCTCCATCCCTCCATCCCTGCCCGCGCCCGCCGCCGTCGGGGAAGGCGCTGGAGCTCGTTCCTCGCCTTCCCGGGCCCTGCTCGGCCTCTGGGTCGCCCGTATTCCACGGCAGCCCCGGGTTTGGAGCGGCGCCGGGAGCCGCGGGCTCGCAGTTCGCAGCCCCCGAAGTTTCCGCGCTCGCGCTTTCCCTCCGCTGCGGCCTCGCTCCCCTTTTGTGCGGGAATTGGACTGTGGTTCGTGCCGGTTTTAGGGCGTTTGTTTGCCTGGTCGGCTGCAGTAGGAAGCTGTAGGACAGAGATTCCAGGCGGGATCGGCGGGCCCGTCTGACGTGGCAGCGGGAGGAGCGCCGGGTCCCGGCCGGGCGAGCCCCGCTCCGCCGCCCCCCGGGTGGGATCGCGGCTGCTCCCCCCTGTTCTGCACGGGCCTGCTCGGATCCCGTGTGCTGCGCGTCGCTCTCTCCCTCCTGGTGTACGGTGTGGTGGTTGGAGGGAATTGCAGCCAGTTCCCATAACTGCAGCATAGCTGATTTCTTTCAGAAAACCGGGAGTTGTTGTCATTCAAAATGGGCATTTCCGTGCTCGGTGTGTTACGTGGGTCGGGCCGCCTGCCCTGCTGATACCGTTTCTTCTGTGCACCGGGGTTTGACTGTGAGCTTGACTTTGCCTTCTCTCCAGTGAGCTTCTCCTTCGTTAGTGAGGGTGATTATTCTTGAAATCAGTTTGCCGTGTGTTGAAGTGAGATATTATTCAAATACCAGGTTAGCATTGTTGAGCAGATGTATTCGTAAAGTCTTCAGTTAAAAGCGTGGAGAATTAGTCTAAGCTGTAACCTGAAATAACTGCTAATGGGGAAATGAAAGAGATTTACACTACAGGTAAGAGGAAGTACAGGCTCTGTATGTTTTCATGTCAAGTGATTTGATAATCACTTAATAGTGCAAAGAAAAAAAAGAGTGAATGAATAGCTTTGATTTTTAAAAAGTAAATTAATAGCTTTGGTTTTAAACAAACTTAAAGTAAAAACTGTTAACTTTACAAATG